AATTGAGGCTGAGTCGACCTAGTGGACACCCAGGACCAGTTCAGATATCTGTCACTGGTGGTGGCCGTGAGTGAGAATTGAACTTGGTGTTGTACCCCAGGTTCGTGGCGCAGCGCGCAAGCCGCGACAACCACCACTCCGCACCACACACCGCGGAACCCGGGCTTCCAAACTTGCCCTGCGCTCTTCCGCCACTAGGTCAGCTTCGCCTAAACTGCGCAAAAAATGTGGTTCGTCTGTGGCAGCGTGGGCATGGCGTTGGGGAGCGGTGGTGCAGCGGTTAGCGCCGCGCTACAAACTCGGCGACCTCGAGTTCGATTGCCGCTCACGGCCAATACCAGTGACGACTATCGAAACCTGTCCTGGGTGTCTACTAGTCGACTCAGCCACAAATAAGTAATTGGTGTGGTGTGTAAACATCGCCACTGGGGAGACAAAGGCGGTCTGGCGAGGTGATGGCCACTTGCACCCTCGCGTGCCGTGCCGGCCTTCATGGGTGATCGCTAACAAGCACTCGCTCCAGCAATCTGTTCAGGCTATATGGGGGATCTTTGTCTTTGCCATGGCGTTGGCCACATGACACCAAGAGCCGTCCACGACCAGAAGCACTTCGTCACAACAAGTCCATGAAGCCGCGCTGTGAATCGCTCCCTGTGAAACAAATTCACGCACCGATTTACATTTCACGGGCAGCGGAGAAACGACCACTAGACTTCCTTGATCCAGAGGAAGGTCAACCAGACGATCTGGCGGCCAAACGTCATAAGCCATGGTCTATCCACTGCTGGAGGAAGCCTCCCCCCACCCCACAGAAGTCCCCATCCCACTTGGGTCCTGCGGTGACACAGTCTGACCCACTCCTAAACAGGAGCCCAATCTCAGCGTTCCATCCCTCGGTGGTGCGTCATCGCGACCGTCACCCGGTCTCATCCTCACTGCAACCTCATTCCTCGTGTCGGAGCGTCCTACCCAAGCCAGACTTACATCCCCTTCACGGGCAATAGGATGCACTTGCAGCATGCCAAGTTTCTGGGATGGTTTATAATATTCAAAAGAAGGCAGAAATCAATGCTTCAACCATTCCCTATTACGGTACAGCACCAAACTGTATATACACAAACACACCCACTCGGTATGGAGCGATGATGTGGTAATCTGGTCGGTCGGCCGTGGTTGTTCTATTGCTACGGTGACACAGAAGTGTTCTCATCATTCATTCATTACTCGCCATGGTCAATCCACTGCTGGATGAAGCCCCCCCCCCCCCCCCCACCAAGTCGTCGACAATCCACCGCGGGCTCTCGAGCGTCTCCGCGGCGTGGGTCACCGGCACCTCCTCCCGCACCGCTCGGCTACGTGCCGTGCCGGAAGAGCTCGGCGCACGCACATTCACCGCACACGCGCAGAATGTAAAACCAAATCTTTCGCACTGACAATCACTCCGACTGCATTCCCACGACGGATCTGCCGTTGCTGCCCATCAGCAGAGGAGGCTCCTGCACCCACCCCTCCCCCCCTCACCCCCTCCCCGACGCGTCGATTCATCATCACCACGAGAGAGACAAAGGCGGCCGCGCGCGGCGCTGGCACCACCCACCCTCCGTGTGCTACTCCGGCCTTCATGGCCGCTACTCGCTAGCGGCACTTGCCCCGAACGTCTGTGAGGGCTATACGGGGTGTCTTTGTTGATCAGGGCACAGAATCCCCCTTGACCAGCGTTTAACACGCAGAGGAATACAAATGATGACGTCCCGAGCGTCATCATTAATGATATCAGCAGCAGCAGCAGCAGCGAGAATCAACCCTGAGTCGTGGGTTGAGTGCTCGCGCTGTGAATAACTCGAGGCGGGACACGACGAGACGCACGAAGGAGCGCGGTGAGCGTGCGCGCGCGCTCCAGGGAGCGCAACACGAATCGGAGGTTGTCGCGCTCATTAATAAGTCACGCAATGGGGCTGCCGCGGAGAACATTGCCGCTCGGCGGGGTAGCATCCGGCGGCTGGCTGAGAGAAGGCAACAAAGCGGCGGTGCGAGATGAATGAATGAATTAATGAATGAATCAGTGAGTGAGTGGCTCGTGGGCGCGCGTGGTATGGCACCGGCGTGGGAAGGGCTCGGAGCGTCGTGAGTGAGATTATATAATGATGATGGTGATGAGGGTGTGGTGGTTCATGATTATTATTATTCGCTTGTTTACCCAGGAAAGCATCAATTGTCTTTATCGGGAGGGTTCTGCCAAGTTATCGCGGGTAGGGGGGTTGATGTTGCCGCTGCTGCAGCCTAATCCCAATTGAGTAATTTTTGCCAGAACATTTTCAGCATTGGGGATGTTTGTAATCGGTATTGGGTTACATATGATGTGAATATTATTGGACAGCATGCCATCTCGCGATGCTGATGACAGTGATGTTAATGATGTTGGTGATGATGTTGGCGATGTTTGGTGGTGATGGTGCAAATATAACAGTCGTCCAACTGCCAGGCCATTGTGAATGACGTAGCAGGGCAGACGGAAGCAAGTCGACAGAAGGCGTGCGTTGTGAAGCTAAAGAGTGCACGATGCGTATGCACATCCATCATGAACATTCTGGTGCAGAATGTTGCGGAGCATCCTGCACACATCCTAGACCCGGCACCTTTTATGGACTTACATCCATTCGAACCTCTGAAGGAAGCGTCACGTGGTGAAGACTGCTTGGACCTCTGTTGAACTTCTTTCACACCGTACGTAGGCAACATTTTGAGCGCGTGCCGATGATGTTCATGTTCTGCACTGACATTCTGCCAGTTGCATAAAAAGGCCTGCGCCGTCATGATCATCATCATCGTCCTCATCATCATCATCATCAGAGCAAGGCAGTGCTCCGCGCAAAATGAGTACGATGAGTCATTTTGCGTGTCCGTCAGCCTCACACCTGCACGCGCGGCGCGCACGGCTCACCGGACGCGGGTCACCTTTGGACGGCCCTTTAGAACACTCGGCGATGCCACGTGAAGAAATCGAGCCGGAATTCATAGGCCGCGAGTTCACGTCCTGCTGATATCAACGTGCAGCCAGCTCTGTGCGGGCAAAGGTGTTTCGAATAATTACTTACAACCTACGAGTACAACTCTACTCTCTACATAATAGTCGTAGACGTAAAATGTTAAAACTTAAATATCTTGGGAACAGTAACCAATCAGTTGTTTAAATTGTCATCTTTTAATTCAGCACGTCAAAATCCGT